TGGGTCTGTAGAACAATTGAACTTAATGTCATTAATTGCAAAGAAAATGTTAAAGATAAAGAATTAATGTTTCTACACTATTTTACACTCTTTTAAATGTTTTTTGCTACAATACTCTATTTTTATTTCAAAGTTGTTTAAAATCTTTTTTAATAATTTAATCAAATTATTAAAAAATAGACAATATTTTTTAAATATATTTTCAAGCTTTGTAATTTCTAATGCTGTAAAGTTGGTAGGTTGGTAGTCATTGCTCTACTAATTGATATATTACATTTCCTTCAGTGTATTTTTGCTGAGTTTTAATATTTAATTGAATGAATCAAGAATCTTTTAGCTATTAAATCATTTAAATCTAACTTTTTTTACATGCTCGTTTAAAAGATTATTTATTCTTTCTATTCAAAGAAGGAATAATTTCTTTGTCTAATTTTTTGTTTTAAGTTATAACAGGGTTTGCTAGTTTACACCTAATATTTTTATTTATCTTTTCTTTTTTTAACTTTTCTTTTTTATTTATATTAATAATTTTAGTTTGAAACTAAAAAACATTAAATTTTCTTATTTTTGAATTTCAATGCTTTTTAAGTTTGCTATTGTGAAACTTTTTCATAAATGCATAACATTTAAATGTTTACAGATTGCATTTCGACAAAAACTTTTATTCTTGTTAGAAATCATTATACTTGCAACAATTAAAAGGATAATTCAAACTGCTTTTTAGAATTATTATTTTTTTTTTATTTATTTGTTATCAGTGTAGACAAATTTTTATTGTATATTTTAACTGAAAATATGCCAAATTCCTTTAAAATATTTTCATTGTATTTTGTATTAAGCTCCATTATGTTGAAATATATTAATTTTATTATTGAACCATTAGAGCTGAAACAAAATATTATTCTTTTTCGTACAGGCCATTTGTCACTTTTATTCCATTATTTTTTATCTGAAAAGGTATATTGCATTTACCCTTTCGCGACGGGAGGCGCAAACGTGCGCTTATCGCTGAGGCCGGCAGTCTCTCTCTGGGGCCGAAGCGTTTTTTTGCTGTTAAGCCTAATCCCATGAAATTTCCGAAATATGAACGAATTGTTTAATAGTGTTCTGTGGAATATATAAATGGCATATGGAATATATAAATGGCATATTTCTTTAGACACTTTATTTTCATTATGTACTAACCATTTAATAACTTTTAACATTATATATCTGAAAACTAAATATATGCATAGTTGCCATCTCTACTGTATTTTCCAGTAGACTTGCTGGTTTTTTCCAGTTCCTCCTGGTTTACTGGTTTAATAAAAATTCTCCTGGTTTTTGTGCATTTTAGAAAATTCCCTAAAATTGAGTATATTTCCTAGAAAAAATCCCTTTTGAAATATAATTTTTGCACAGATTACTGCTTAAATATTTAAACAAGTAGGTATTACTAATATATAATGAAGCGACTCTTATTCATAGAAATCAGTTTAAAAATTTTTTTTGTTCTAAAATGTTCAGTTTGTTTTTATTCAGAACTACCTTTTTAAATTAATTAACAAAAATCTTCATTATTTCTTATGAATTATATGCCTATTCAAAATTACGAGTAAATGTAATTCGCAACATTTCAAGCATATTTAATGCCAATCATGACCAGAAAATATTGCAGTTTTTCTATTCTGATGTCTATAAAAATCCCTAAAATTCCCTATCCATAAAATATTTAGCACATTTTGCAACAGTTATTATGAAATTTATGTTATTTCGTAAAATCTACTGGATTTTTGCCTATCTATGTTGGCAGCTATGTATATGACTTAAAATTCTATTTTTGTATGAAAAATTTGAAAATACTAACGTTGCACTAAAAACTGGACCACAAATCGAAATACCCAACGTTGTAGTGAGAGAGAAAACAACATCCCCTACTTTCTTGTAAACAAATACCTCATGCGAATTTAAAGAGCCGTCATAAAACATTTTTTTCTCCTCCAATCCTTCCCCCTAAAAACCACGTGTATGTGAGTCATACTCTCATTTTGACTAGAAGGTCGAAGCTACATGTATCTGAAACCATATAAACATACAATGCCATCTTCTGGCAGAAATTTTATTTTTTAAAACGTTCCAGGATACTGGCACAAATGTGTGACGGCCGGGGGTGAGCGAGAAAACGCTCTGGCACACCGATGTGTCGGCCGGGTAGTGAGTGCGTTTCTTGCTGGCACGTATATGTGACAGTCGGTGCGAAAGGGTAAATGTTCCATGTTAATATTGTTTTAATGGATGAAAAAATTTTTCTTGCATATTATCCCGGTCGATCATTTTCGACAAATCGATCGATCATTTTGGGAATGGTTCAATCACTATGTAAAAATTAATTTGGGAGAGGCCCAAATGATTTTGGAGTGATCAACTTAATGTGAAATTTAATTATGTACTGCTAAATAATATAATTTTGTAAACAGTACAGTAAGTCCACAATTATCCAGCCTCTGTACTATATACTGAATTAAATTTGTTGAACATATGATTGTTAAATTTGTCTTGAAGTGGGAAATATTGGGAGAATAAAAAATATTAATGTTTTCGTCTATACATATTGATTCTTCCTATCTATGTTCTTCATATCTATGTTCTTCATATCTATAACTTTTGACATTTGTGTAGCTTGTTAATCTACATTAAATATTTTTGCATTAATTCTTATATCTTAATGTAAAACATAGTGTTTTTAATTGGGATAGGAAGTGGAACTTAGTCCTTCAGTTATTTATCTGCCATCTCATTAGACCAGATAGTTGGAAGCATGTTATAACATTTTCATATTAAAATAAAGCAAGGGAAAAATAACTTTTTTGCATGCAATTCTAAAATTAAATTTAGATGTTGATTTTGATGCTGAGTGCTTATTTGTCGGGTGCATGTTAAGTTGTTAAGTGGCATATATAAACAGAACTCTAGATTAATGTTGCTCGAAGACCACCTAAATTTGACTCAATCTGTAATAAGTTAATTATCAGTGTGAAGTGGTTTGATTTTTGCTTTCATGTTTTGATTTGTGTTTTTGCCACAAAGTAGCATGTTTCATCACAACACAAACATTATTCATTATCTGTATTGAAATTTTTTATTTATTCACTTTACTTTTTGTTTTAGGGAATCTAAAAGAATCACAAAAATATATACAATTTTATTAGTTACTGGTCTAATGGATCATTGACTAACAACTGTTATGAATTGTAATAATTATGATCTCTTCTCGTGATTGTGTCTTTATAGTATTGTAGGAGTATTCAGGGTTCTATTTAGGTTTTTCTGAGGGGTACCTATTTTGTGAAAAATTAAAAAATTATAATAAAATACTAACAAAAAAATATGGATTTATCGTTTCTTTAGGGATACAAAAAAAAAATTTTTTTTAAAGAGTGTTTTGTGAAAGTTTTTCCTAAAGTTTAACTTGTGAAGGTACCGTCAAACGGTAGTAAATTTGGCCTGGACAGACCCCTGGTCAATTTACTGTCTGAAAGGGATAAGAATTTTTTCTGTAATACAGTCAATTCGCTATAACTCGAAGTACGATAACTCGAATATTACTATAACTCGATTTTTTTATGAGGTCCCGACCCTTTTATCTTCAATTTCATGTTAATTATTCTCGATTACTCGAATTTTACTCCCTTTAACTCGATTTTTTTTGGATCTTTTAAAGCAAGAAAAAAAACCTAGGAGCTGATATCTTGCCCCTTCCTTTGCAACACACACACAATGTCTTTCGCACTCTTCATGGAGAAGCTAAAGCTGTCCCTCTTGAAGTATGTGAACAGTGGTTAAATGAAACGTTACCAAATTTACTTCAAGGATACAGTTAAAATGATGTTTTCAATATTGATGAAATGGGTTTATTTTTTAAATGTCTTCCAAATAAGACTATGATGTTTAAGGATGAAAACTGCTCAGGGGGTAAAATGAGCAAGGAACGTTTGACTGTCCTAGTTGGAGGAAATGCGTCTGGGACAGAGAAATTGCCCTTACTTGTTATCGGAAAATACCGAAATCCCCGATGTTTCAAGAATGTAAAAACGTATCCTTTGGATTACAAGTCTAACAAAAAGTTTTGGATGACATCAGTTTTATTTGAAGACTATGTAAGAAAATTGGATCGGAAATTCTTCGCTAAAAAAAGAAAAGTGATACTCTTTATGGATAAATGCACAGCGCATAGTGATCTACCTAATTTGAAAGCAGTAAACTTGCAGTTTCTCCCGCCAAACACAACAGCAAAGTTGCAGCCGATGGACCAGGGTATCATAAAGTGCTTCAAACAGTCTTATCGTAAATGGCTTGTCAGAAAAATGATCTTAAATATTGTAAGCATTTAGAAGATTTGTAATTAATAAGCATTAATTAAATAATCCGACAATATTTTGAAAGTCCAAAACCGAAACTAACGGTAAGTCGAACTTCCGATAGGTCGAAGTTTTTCGTCAGTCCTACCAGATTCGAGTTATCGCGAATTCACTGTATTAAATAATAATACACCCAGCGTGTGCCTACCACATTGTGCTGAAAAAAATATACTCAGTAGTTGACGGATCATGAGTTAGTCCTCTTGCTGTCAGTGTGTAACCTAAATGTGGGTTAGTTGCATTTAAAAGATAGTCCTCCAAAAAGGTAAATTTCTCCTGATATTTGATCCAGTTGTTCCAACATTGTCAAATAATTCATTGATGTCAGAAAATGGTAATTCTTGGTCCAGTATGGTTCATGGTCCCAGTAAGTACTCTAGGTTCAGTGAATGTTATGAATTCTGAAAGAGTTTATGTGCTGATTTTATATCAATTTGCTGTCATAAACTATTAAGTTATAACAAAAAACTAACATTTTTTAGGATTTAATGTTATTTTAAAATTTGTTTTCCAGCCTTTTTCTTTTGCCAATAGTTTGTTTTCTGCCAGATTTTATGGTGAATAACTGATATTAACCTTCTGTTAATAATTTTTCTCCTCTAGGTATCTGAATCTAAACAAATATTATTGAAGATTTGATGAAATTTAAGTTAACAGTATCACTTTTTGTAGGTATTATGTTAATTTAGTGTTTTTCTTTAACTTAGATGTAGATATATTTCTAGCATTTATGAATTTCCTCTTAAAAATTTTCAGCAATTTGGATGTATACTCAACAGCTTATAAGTAGCAAAATTTATTGTTTGTTGCTCATTAAATTCTTAACTTTTTTAACTGATTATTAAATATTATTTGTAAAAGCTGGTGGTAAACTTAATTCTCTATTGTTGCAACATCCAGATTTCTTAAGGAAAAGTGATCATATAATTTATAAAAATCATATATCTCTAGCAGGGCTAATTGTGCTCCGGAAAAAATCCGGATTTTTCGCTAACCGTGATCCGGAAGTTTCCGGAGATCGAAGGTTCAGATGTTTACAAAAATCGGTGATCACAAAAGATTTCGGAAATCAAATTTTCAAAGGTGGAACTTAAAAACGCAGTTTATTTTATTTGTTTATAAGAGAGCTACTTTATAAGCTTATATTCAAGATTAATATTCATGTTTTATCAGTAAATAGTTATTATAATCATAAAATCGGGGTTTCACTGTATTTGTAAATTTCAATTGCTTCTCCGGGTCATCATAGGTATGTGTAAAATTTTAAATATATTTTAAGTAAACTAGGAAATATTGAGAAAAAGGGAGAAACCTTGTTTAAATTTTTTTCTAATTTTTCGGTTTAAACTTTTTTATTTATTTATTATTATTTTTTTACTCAAGAAATTTTCTGGAATTTTGACTGGGGCTCACAATCCCCCTGCTCTAGGAAAAAACGAAAGATTTAAAATTAACTTTTATAAAAACGCTGCAAAATTAAATGTGTTATGAGGATTTATTATTAAAAACAATTTTTTATTGGTTTGTAGTCTTTTAATTAGAATTTTTAAGACTTGAATTAATAATTGTATTGCCTTATAAAATTAATAGGCTTCCATTTTAAAAAGCGAAAATTTGTCACAATTTACTCATGTTCTCTAAGGGTATTAATGACTGATAACTTTCTGTAATACTTATTCAGCAACTTAATTGAAATTGAATCAACAAATAGATATTATTGTAGACTATAGTAATAGTTGACTTCTAAAATCTGTTTCTATAATTATGTATCCATTCTGCTTTTGTTTAGATCTTATGAACTATTTAAATCTTGAAAAAACTTAAAATCCTGATATTCCTGATTAAAAAAAAAATTAAGCAGTTTGAAGAATCTAAATATTTTAATTTACTATCCAGTATCTTTTTGATTTTACTAATGATCCTGGTATAAATCATAAAATTTGATCAAACTTGGGGACTGTCCACTAATTATATGGGAGTCTTGAACTTGGGGAACTGTCCACTAAATACAATACCTGAAGGATTCATTGTTTCAAACTTTTTAGCAATCCTCTCATTTTACTGAATATATTTTTTAAATGATAAATTCAGGGATCATGCTTGCTAATTCATCATTTTCAACATGCTACTGCAGAAATAAATTTTGTACAGTAGAGTTTTGTAGTTAATTATTGAAATTCTACTTTAAATTTATTTGATTAAGAAAGTCTTATCTTGATTATTTTAATTAAATATTGAATTTGATATAAGGGAATAGTTGATGTTTTTTTTTTTTTTTTTTTTTTTTTTTTTTTTTTTTTTTTTTAAATATTGATTTCAAACTAATATGAGTTGTTCAGTGTACTATTAATAAAATTATATTGGAAAATTTTTTGTTCTAAGCAAAATAATTCTGAAGTTAGAATTAGTATTTTTTTTTATTCTTATATGATTAAATTTACTTTTATTTTACTTAAAGTAAAGTAAATTAGTATTTTTTTTTAAAATTAGTATTTTTCCTTTCTTAAAAAAGTTATCTGGTTTATGCATACTGAACAAAGCTGTCTTGATTTTTTTTCTTTGACCCGCTATTAAGCCTGTGTTTGCATCAAAATTTTTTTTAAAATAAAAGTGAGTATCTAATTTTTTAGATTTTAAAAAAAAAATCCAGCTAATTAGTTACCCTAAACTGAGGAACTGTATCTAGAAAATTGAGGAGGGAGGGATTTTGTTCTCTTCAAAAATATTGTGAAGTGCCTATTTACGTGATAATGCCATTTATGCATAAACATATGATCATTACAATGATCATACCAAATGAGTTTGCAAAAAGGGCTTTTTTTTCCCCTAATTAGCAAGTTCTATACTGCAAATAAGTATTTTGAAGCATAACATCATAATGTTATAGGTCAGAGTTTCCCAATTTTTTTTTTCCAGCTATGGAACCCTAGTCTAGCTTACTTCTTTTAGCGGGACCCTGACATTTCAAAAGAGTTCATTAGCAGATGTGAATATACTAAGAAAAGAATTAAAAGAAAAACTACAAAATTAATTTAAAAACTTCTAGTTAAAGGAATCAAATTATTTCATAGCTTAATCAATAAAACTTAAAATTAGGTCTTATGTTAGGCAGTTGAGTTTACAAGTCTGTTTCATTTGTTGGTAGACTAGCAGTTTTTGGTACATGCATAAATCATATTATATATATACTAGTGGGCTGCGCAATCTTATATAGTTTGCTTCGCAAACCAAGCACGCTTCGCTCGCTACTAGCTTAGGTACATTGCAAATGCACAAAATTCTAAGAGTTCAATACAATCATTCACATCCATATAAAAACTTTTTTTTTTTTTAAAAAAATTACATCTTTTTAGTAAATACTAAGTCATTAAAATAAATTTGAATTCAAATAAATGACATGTAATTCGTTAAACCTATTAGAAATGTGCTATAGTATAAAATCTTAAGAAAAAATTTCTAAAATTGATATCTCTTTAAAAAGGTTAAAATTTTGGCTATAATTAAGTCTATTAAAAATTGAAAATAAGTGAATTGCAATGGAAAAACCTGCATAAACAAATAAATTCAAGTAAAATAAATAAATTCGTGATATAAATCAAAAATCGTCAAATAAATTCGCAATATATAAATTTATGAAGAAAAAAAGCGCTTTCGACAAAATACTAAAATAGAGGTTTATCGACAAAGACTACTCACTTCTGCCTAGCTTATGCTCTCTCTGGTTATTTCAGTTTCTGTTTTTAAAAGCGCTATATGTTGAGCCATCTCAGCTAGATTTGGCATGTGACATTTTTAGCGACAATCATTGGTCGATTTCCTAGCGTTGCCATTCGGGGAGTTGTGATGGGGCTTTTTTTACTTTGTCACCGTGTAAGAGAAATATATATATTATAAATTAACTTCATTTTATGTGCAGTTTACTTGAATAATTTCATAAATATAACATAACTATTAAATGAAAATCTATTCTGGAAATCTTATCTTTAAAACAGATGTTTTTATTTTCCAAGCAATTTCTGGGTAAATAGCACATGAAGAATAATGTGATTTATCATGCATTTTTATAAGTCAGTAAAAAAAAAAAAAAAAAATATTTCATTGTTTCAAAAAAGCCTTACGTAATCTGAAGTAAATTCCCAAGTTACTATCTAGTATTCCTCTTCCTTTTAGAAATATCTAACCTGATGCAACACCTTATGGGAAGTCCAGTCTTTTCCCTTTATTAAACATGATGAATGCAAAAGTTTTGCAATTGTACCTACTAAGTACTTGGTATGTCACAGTAAAATTGCTCTAAATTATTGCACTCCACGAAAAGCAATTATAAAAAAAAATAAAGACAGTTTGGTCAAATAATAGTAAACATTGCAATGTTCATTTCTAAACAAAAGATATTTTAAGAAACTAGTGTGAAATAAATTAGTTTTCAGAATTTTATAAGATTTTCAAAATAATTTCATTTTTGTTAAAAAGATGTTTAGCACAAGGGATATATTTTTGACCAAAAAAAAGTGGTGATTGACAGACAATTTTTAATCACCTTTAGTCTCCTGTTGGGGGCAGGTAATTTTATGACTTTTTTCTGTATTCATAAAATTACACCATGCTACTTTACCCTGTATTCCTAGAATTTAACCTTAGTTGCAATGCATATTTTTATTTTGCTCTTCTGAGAAATATACTAAATTATATTAAACGGTGTTATTAATGTTCTTTTGTTTATTTGATTTTAAATGTGACTTAATTAATAATTGGAACTTGTTGAGTTAAATTTAACAAGTTTGACTTATTGACCAATCACAAATTGTACAAAATGATAGCTCTTTTTTGTGTATTCTACCAGATTTATTATTTCTGAAATTTTAGAACTCCATAATTTTATGAACAAGCAAAACTTGTTCATTAAAGTTTTCGAAGGAAGAGTTTTGAGGAGAGTTAAAGAATATTGGGGGAAAAAACATTTACGAAGGAAAGAAAGAGCTCTAAAGTATTTGCTTATGCCATTTTTTTATGTTTATTAGATCAAATTTAAATATCGATAGATTAGAAGAAAAAAAGTTTTTTTAGATAATTTAGTTTTTTCTGACTGAAATCAACTAAGCAAGTGGTTAACCTGATAGGTTTTACTTTATTTTTGAGAACATAATTAAATGTGACTGTAATTAAATCGAATAAATTTTCTATATGATATTAAGACCCAAAAATTTGGAATTGCACATTTCAGTAATCAATATTCAAAGTGCTTAATAACATCATAAACCCATTTTTCGAACCTTCTTTTTTCCTATTCCAGTTAATGCAATTGATTTTATCATGTTTTTAAAATTTTAGTAACATTGCGACACACAAAATTTGAAACATGCATTTAATAATCACTTTTTGAAACACTGTTTCTTTCAATACCATCATAAATCCATGTGGTGTTCCCATCGTTTTATGAGCCATTATTACAATAAATTTTCTCAATTTTTTTTTATAAATCCCTTTATTTTCATACATTATTCTTATGCCATGCAAAATTAAATTCTTGCATTTCTTAGATGCTTTTAGTTCCCGCCTTATCACTGTTTTTTATGTACAAAAAGAAAAAATTAAGTGCTAACAACAAAAAACTGCACTTAAGGAAAAACAATCTCCAATAATTTCTACTTCCCTTTATAACATGGCTACTTTGTAAAATTCTCCAAAAAACTAGTTGGTTATAAATTAATAATTATAGATTTTATATTGCACTCCTATACTGAGAACTTTTGTACTCCCATTTAATAGAATCGATTACTTTTTTCTCAGCAAAGCCAACCAATCACACATTTTCTTACAATCTCAGACAGCAATGCTTGTTAACAAATTGTTGCACTGATGTTAATTTTCTTGAATTCATTTTGATTTTTTGTAACGATTTAAGTAAAAAAGTGTTCTTTTATTAATCTACTGTGTGTTGACATTTCATTTTACTGTTTTCTTAAATATTTGATTTTTGATTCAAAATTCGTATTACGTAATGATCGTGGTAAGTTAGTAAATGTTACTTGCATTCTAGAGATTATATATCTGGAACTGTTTCTGCTTTTACCCTAAAAACTGGCAAAAACTAAGGAATGTATGGGAAATTTGTTAAATGATGAATAATAGAAAATAAAATTATTCATGTGTGTTTATTAGGAAGAAAGAAAATGACTTTCTTTTTTTGGTCTGCACACCACAGGTACAGGCTTCCAGTTGTAAAAATAAAATCAATTAACTAATCTAAACTTAAAAAAAGACCATATGGAAAAATAAGAAAATAAAACAAAAAATGAGTAAAATTTAAAGAATTTGTCGAAATAATCTCCTAAAATAATAATTCAAAACAAAGAATATTAACTATTTGACTTTACATATTAGTTTAAAAAAATGTGAACAATGAAATTTATAAAGCGCCCTGTTTAGGTAAAGTACAATATAAAATATCTTTATATTAAAATGTAAATAAGTAAGAAAAAAATTATGGACGATCGCCTGGAATTACTTTTTTTTGTTTAATGAAAATATATTAAACAATACTTATCCAAGGTATTATTTCGTCACTCTGTATTTGCCATTTGGTGTGCAAAACCCTGTGGCCGAAGTTTTTCGAACTGTCTGCAAAAAAACTCTCTAGCACTATTATCATTCTTCAAGATAATTTTAATGATAACAAGCATGTATATTACTAATTTAAAATAACAAAAGTGCTGTATATACAAATAAAACTATATATTTAATTGAACAAGTAATAATTTTTTATCCCAATATTATGGGTGATATTCTTGCTTTTTGTTGGGGGGTGGACACAAATGATTTTCTTCTTCGCCTTCTGTAAATAACCATTACTATAAAAAAAAATTAAAAATCATTAAGTAGTAAATCACGCGAATCAGACTCCTCAAATGCTTGTTTCGTTTCGAGATTAGGTTGTTGTAAAAAATATTGGATTTAAAAACTATTGAGAAATCAATAGCAATAAATACCGAAAATTTGGTATGATTATTGCCTTAAAAAGTAAATACTCAATTGCATGATTAAAATCTTTCATATTGTTTGAAATATGTCGGGATATTTAAAACACACCTGAAAGTCAATGTCGATAACTGCAGAAAATACAATCGAAGCATTGCATCAATTTACAATATTATTGATGTAGCTTGAGTGCGTCAAAAAGTCATTAACTAATTGCGTGATTCAAATACAGTACAGAACCCGTTCCGGAAATCAAAAAACCGGAACAAAATTCAATAAATTTTCTCGCCTTTTTTTTTTTTCCTCCTAAGATTTTACGATTTTTCCTTCTTTTTTTTAAAGATGTTTACCTTACCGTCATTTCGGAAATAGTCATTAGTGTATTACTTCATCCTTTTTTCTTCTTTTTAAGATTATTTCCACACAAAAAAAATTTCTTTTAGTTGGGTTTAACAATAAAAAAACGGCTTTTTGTAGCGATTCAGAAAACCGGAAAAATCAGTTATCCGGAATGGCGATGGTCCCGATCGTTCCGGATAATCGGTTCCCTACTGTATTGCATGTAAATTTCTCTAGAAAAGAACAAATAGTTTGCCTTTCAAAAGATAAGTCTTTCTGCAAGAACTAAGTAACGTTATGGACAATGTCGCCGTGTCACTGCGATTCTACCATGGAGGTGCATAAACTACCTGGATTTAAAATACATAAAAATAAAATAAAAATTTCGTCTATTTTAATTTCTTTTAAATTTATACGATTCCAAAACAAGAAATATAAAAAAATAAACACATTCTTGCTAAGATGCTGTAATAAATTAAGTTTAATTATTTTTTCAAGATACTATGTTTAAAAAAATAACATTTTAAATAAAATACTTTATAATGTTAACTTTTATTGTACCCATCCTAGACTTTATGAGAGAAAAAAAAATGCTGACCTGGAAAAGATTTTTACTTGGAAAAATCTGGGAAACTTAAACCTGATATGAGTGGCCACACTGTTATAACTATTTTTCTTTTTTGATCAAAGTTAATTCAAGCATATTAGTGATTATTTCTGTACTATTACAAACATACTGTTATATTTTTATGATAGATTTTCTGCCTTAATACACTTATTTTATATATTTTGTGTGCAATATATTTTTAAATTTTCGGTTATGATTAAAATGTTTTGTATTTTACCTAAATGATAAAAGTATAATGAAGTGTTACTCTTTATTTTTTCAGATCAGCATTTATAATAGAAGAATTGGAAAGAGATCATAAGCAGGTGAGGTGTTTTTTATTTCTAGTAAATGTATATTTATCCCATGGTAGCTAAATTTGTCTTGGTGTATTTTGTGAACTTTTAATTTGATTACTTTCTTCATGTGCTGTAAAAAATTTTGTTGGCATAAATTTCAAGTCTATGAAAGATGGCCTTTAATTGTAACCATAAAGTGTGTTACCTAATTATATTTTCTCCTGGTTATATTAAACTAAAGATATTTTTTGACCCTGGCGTTTGTACCAATCAGTTCCATGCTCCTTTGCAACATTTCAAAAAGAGAAGTGCCAAAAACTTAACAATTGGGAAGTTTTGTTATTTTTATATAGACATTGTCTCACTTATGTCTTTATTATGATACGGAAATCGGTTGCTCCGTATGAGATTTTTATCAAATCAGTATAGTTCCGTACCGTTTGATCTTTCCAAAGATTTCAAATTTGCGGTATCAGTAGTCTCATGGGGATTTTTTCCTCCTTATCATTGTGAGCAAAAGTTTCATAAATACTTTGATCCATTTCAGCGATAACTTGTGCTTCATTTTGAACATTGTCATACCTTTCTTCCGCTATTATTTCTAGTGGGGTTTTTTAGTAAATAATATGTTTAAATAATGGAAATTTTAAAATATGTTTATTCATTGAAAATTTCTTAAGTTTCGGATTTAAGTGAAAAAAAGTTTACTAAAAGGCTCTGAAATGAAATTTCGGATTAGTGAAGGATAGCTGATGCTCAAAAATAGCTGCCTAGAGGTTTTTCCTGAGGTAAATCCTATAAGTATATAACCTATTTTAGAATCTAATGATAACTGTGACTTAAAGAAAAGATCTTGTGGCTACCCAATGAGCTGTAAGACACTTGGAAACTTGCTAATTTTAAACTTAAAAATTATGTTACAAGGAAAGTTTTGTATTATGCTGTATTTGCTAATACATACTAAATGTGCCTTTAAGTTTAAATATAATGGATCTTTTGATTCAGTTGTTCAAACCTGTTTAGCTTTATTTTTTCTTGTAAAGTTGTGCATTGAAGTGTGTAAATTGCTTATACAGTGAAACCTCCAGGAAAGACAAATTTAGGACCACTTTGAAGGGGTCAGAATTTTCTCAGAATATTTGTGAGGTTCTTATTTAGAGAGCTATTTTTGGCGATCGTTCAGCCTCATTGATCAGTCAGAGTGCATTATAGACGATGCTATCAATGATTTATTTTTAGAGTTGAAAGTTGCGTTAGAGAATAAAGTTATTATAGAAAACACTCAGTATGCCAAGCAAACAAACTCTTCTCATCTTTTAAGGTTGGCTAATTTTTATGATATAAAATTAAATGAAAACTAAAACGAAAAATCTAATTGTTTATTTATTTAAAATAGTTCTATTATTCATAATTGGTAAAATTTGTTTTTATGCGTAATTATATCAGCTCTCAGTAGGGATCATTTTTTTTTAATGCCTCAATCTGCTGTTAATGATGCCAACACTGGTGGCTCTATACAATGGAGAAAAAAATCTAAAAACCAAATCAACATACCATTCCTTTATATTCTTGACCTGCAACAGAGTTGCGCCAAGAAGACCATTTGTTCCATGGTGACCCGAGTCTGATTTCAGTGGTCCTGTTTTTATGAACCACCATTAATTTCGAAATCTGCATTTTGGCATTTAATTTCTAAGCTATTTTGTAATTCAATTTTCTAAACTATTTTGTAATAAAAATGTAGGTGTAATATAATAAATTACAGCTGAAGAGTTCCAAGAAGAGTTAGGTTAATACAGTTCATTAATAATATATAAATGTTTAAATTATGACCCTAATTATAAATTAAAGTCACTAAGAGTGATCATTTAAGTAATGCCATGATCCACAATTATTTTTGCATATTATACTTTCCCGATTAAAATGCTGTCTGTAAACTTAAGTATATTCACAAGTAGTTTAAGCCTCTGGTATTGTAGCAGGGTTTAAGCTGAGTCTAAAAATTCATTAGCAAAAAAGCTAAAATCTGAAAAAAAGTTTTAGCAAAATGCTAAAATGCCATTAGGCTTATAAAATTACTTTATATCAAACAAGTACTGTAAGTTATCTGACAAAGAATAGCTTAATGTACAAGAATATCAAAAAGAATACCTATAACAAAAAAAAAACACATTTATTATTTATCAAAACATTTTGGTTTATAATTAACAATCTTCCTTTCTTTCATGTTTGCCCATTTTACAAATGCTTCTTGAAAGTTAAATGCACTTTCAGGGCCCTAAATATTAATCATTAACAAATATATATATCATATATTCTAGCCATTTTTGTTGATCGCTATGCTTCATCTCGTTTGATCACGTTTTTTTCGTGAACGCTAGCGTCATGGTTCTTCTTGCGAAAGATATTTAGATTTTTTCTCCTTCTTGTTTGATCAAGTTTTTTTCATGGATGTTAGCGTCATGGTTTTTCGCGGAAGCTTTTTTTTTAATGGAATTTAGTAAAATCCTTTAGCGAAAATGCTTTGTTGAATTTTAGCATTTTTGAGGGGTCTTTTTGCATTTTGCGAAAAAAGCTACCGTAGCGGAAACCCTGTATTGTAGTACCTGAAATTAGTTTTATCCTATAACATTAATATTAAAATATTTAAAAAGAATATTAAAGGAATATTTAAAAAGAAATTCTCTCTATTGATCTCAACCCATGCTACAATAATAAAATTATACGGGAAACTTAGAATTTTCTGTTCAGAGAACAAAGTAGCTCTGAAGTAGTCTAATAAGTGTATACTGTACGAACTAGGTCCTGCTTTTTTTTTCTTTGCTCTTCGTAAAATATTGTCCTGGTTCTTCCTTTTCAGTTCACTGTGAGATCTGCTATAATTGAAATAATCGATAGTATAATAGCCAGTTTTTTGGTTTTATAATGAAAACTGTTTTCTTAACACAAATTCTGAATAAAGTTAATTTGAAAAAATTTTGATGAAATTATTGTCTTGCAGTTGTGATATCAAAATTCTTAAAAGTCTACCAAAATGGAATAGTGTCCTTTAATCTAACAAGGTTGATTTCCAATCGATCATTTGTTGGTTTGTTAATTTATTTGAGATTTGCATCCTTTATAATTAGATCAGACTGACTAAAGACACTTTAGGTTTTTTGCATTTCGTAAGAATAGCTTAGAGGATTTTTTTGTAACTTTACAGGTGTTTAGCTCATGTCATTTTTGTTCTTAAGCAATATGCTTTACAGCTTTCAAATGTTAGAGGGTCCGACTATAAATTACAATAGAAAACAAGTTTTTTTGAACAACCTGTGCCAGAAAATCAAGCAATAGACTTGTTACTAGTATCAATTACTTACATTGTTAGTTGCAATGGCTGCATACTATTTCATAAATCTAGCTTAATTATTTGTGGAAATATGGACATATATATAAAAACTTATACGATCAAACCTCGATAATTCGAGATACCGAAAGTTCGAATTATCGAAAATCGTATGTATCAATGGTAGAATAAAGAAAAATGCTTTTTACATACCTTATTTACTGTTCCATATTTATTCTAAAAACACTTTTCACGCTTTCATTTTAAAAAAAGATTCCATTGTTGAGATGTGTAAGGAAGTTTGTAACACTTTCTAAATGGACTATAGCTTTAAATGTCTCCTGACATATTTGGCTGCCTCTCAATAAATCTCCTTACAGTGTCCACTGCGGAAAGTGCTTGTTTGTTAATTTCCTCATCCTCTTCTTCAAGAAGCTTTCGTTTGAGCGATGATTTCATTGTCATCCCACTGACCACACACTGTTACTGCATCATCTGCGTTTACTAAGTCATGATATTCCATGTCATCAAGTTTCAAGAGTCCGGTCAATCTGTCCCAATCATTTTCAGTGTAGTTTTCAGCAGAATTAACAATATTGATTGTTTGACTACTTTCGTGATCTTTAATGAATCCAGCCTTCTTGAAGCCATTCATTATCGTAGAGAAGGACACATCATTCCATGCTACTGACGTCTTTATGTGCATTTTTTAAAAAAAAAAGTTTATCATTATAAGAATTGGTTTTCTATTCTAAATTTTTTTTTTTTTTTTTGGAGCAGTTTTTTTATTTTCAGAAGAAAAATGTACACTATTTATGGAGAAAAAAATTCAAGTTATCAAGGGATTAGGAAAAAATTTTTCGTGAAATCAAGTTTTTTTTAACATTGAGTGTATAGGAAATTTGAAGGGAATTTTTTTTTCTTCGAGATATCGAAAAATTCGTGAAATCGAGGTTCGACTGTATATAAAACTTATTACAACTTTAAAACTATTCTATAAAAGTAAACAAAAGTTTGGGGGCAATTTAAAAATAATTATGATATTGTTTTTAAATTTTAAAAAGTTCGTTTAAAACTACTCAAGAAATCAAATATTTTCATATTTTATAGCCAATTTTATTTGGCAACTAATAAGAGTCTTATTTGAATATCTTAAAAAATTTAAAAACTTACAAGCAATTTTCTAAGCAGCTTTTCTACTTTTTGAAAGAAAGCTGAAAATAAGGGGTTTTCCACAAATATCATTTTGCATTATGAAACAAGATTTATTAAAAGGGACAGTGGCAACTCCTTATTAAATTATAATGTATTTAAAACATTTTCTTTCCTTGTACAATCACATCTTGCTGTCTGGTAATTATAGGGACTGTGTAATTTGCAATACCACAACATGAAATTTGAGAAAAATCCCTGATTATTTTGAGCTTTATTTTGAAAAGTAAAAAAGTGACTTAGACAATTTCTTGAAATTTTTAAGATACTCAAATCAGATTATTTCATAAGCTGTCCAATACGATTTAGTACAAAATTATGAAGAAGTGGGAAAATTAATTTTTCCGCGCATGCACAGTAAAAAAGAATTACTTTAGATACTTATATCTTAAATAGTTTCTACCAAATTTTTTCACATTTTAAAACAATACTTTTGTTATTAATTTTGAATTTTTCCAAAAGTTTTATTTAATTCTATTGAATATTTTTAATATTATTGCAAAAAAAGGACAAAAATTAGTTTTTTATAAATATGTCCATACATTCATAAATAATTAAGCTTAAGTTTACAAAATTTTATGCAGTTATTGCTTGATTCTACGGCATAGGGTGTTCAAAAATACTTGCGAAATCAGATGTACAAAGCTCTTCTGAAGTTTCAAAATAATCTGTTTACTATTTCTTCAGATATTTTAAAAATGCAAAATGCTGAAAGTGTCTTTTCCATTTTTGTAGGGTCGTGTATTTTTTAGAGCAAAATCTTATTTCAATTGTGCAAATAAAAAAATTTAGTCGTATATGTATTTATTTTTTTAAATTATTTTCAGTAAAAAATTTATAGTAATTTATTCAAAAGTGTTTAAAAGAAACTATAACACAATGAGACCTTAAACTAAAATGTTAGCTTTATTAACTGGTTGCCTAACAGCATTTGTTTATGCATTTTAATAATGCATTTTTTTAATTTAAGAGCAAATGTATCATATCCAAAAAGAACAGGTGAAATAACTTGAGTATTTTGTGGTCTCAAAATTTTTAATGGTTTTTAGTAAGAAATTTTCATATTTGATTTTTTTTTCTATTCAACTAAATACCTGAAACTTGTATCTTGTTTATAAGAATAGAATAAAACGGATCAACTTATACGCCTAGATATATGGTATTTATCCGAATTTTTCAGATTTAATTTAATCTGAGAATTATCATTTATCAGTTTTAAGCATTCAGGATTAATTAAATTTATTTTGTTTTCAGGATTAATTATGTTAATTTTGTTTTTCGTGATTTTTTTTTTTTTTTTTTTTTTTTTTTTTTTTTTTTTTNTTTTTTTTTTTTTTTTTTTTTTTTTTTTTTTTTTTTTTTTTTTTTTTTAATGTTTTACTCATGGATTAAACAATTAGCATATACAATACTGGTATACCATATAAGCATTGACTTTAGTTCAAAGGAGAAACCAGAAAGAAAGAAAAATTTAAAAGAGCAATTTCCCTTTTTTTCTTTTTCTTTTTTTTTTTTAAGAAAAATATATCTTAATGTTTAACTGTTGTTCTTAAGTTCTTTGTAAAAAAAAATCCTAAACTCAGGCAGGGCGAAACAAGCTCCAACATAATGCTAAAATGCCGTTTGATTTATGAATTTAAGTTCATTTATCATTCTGAATGCTTAGCTGTGTTTTGTTTTTATTTATTTCATTTCATTCTATTTCATTTTCAATTGTTTATACAAGACAATGTGTTGTGCATGATTAATACTTGCCGCAAATTATTAAAAATTGAAATGGTAAATAATTTTTCTTTCCATTGAACGAAAGAAAGTTTATTGTATAAACATAAGATATCATGCTTATCAGAGTCACGTGATGAATAATGAATAAAAAATATTAATAGTACTGGTTTATTTTCTTTTTAAGAAGCTTTATCTGAAATTTGATCTGCACGAATAACCTCGCCCCACACACATCTACTCATTTTACCTATTTTTTATACTTTTCCTAATATTTTTTGTGAATTTTTCTAATAGTATTTAACAAAAGGCTTTGACGAAACTCTTGTTTCCTAAAAAAAACTTTCTTACAGAAGCTTTCACACACTCCTTCTTAATGACTTTTTATGTGCATATGTTTTTTTTTTCACTAGTGACATCGAAATATTCTAAAAATAAGAGGGCTTTAGTTTAATGCATTGATGATGCCATGTCAATCATGGATTTAATTTGCCATATATTTTAAGCCAAAAATTCAAGTTGACAAAAAAAACCTTAAACAGTATCTAAGTAAATTAAAGTAAGTAATTACTAAAAAATGCCTCGTAAGAACTTTTTTTAGAGATTTTAAAATTTTACTTACATGCTTTGATAATATTTAGTTAAATACTTTTAATGAAATTATTGCCGATATGGGGGTTTGAGAAAATATATGAATGACTAAGTAATTTTATTAAGTTTGATCTTTATTAATTGCTATTAATTTTGATGCATAATAAATGACATACACATGTTCATATGTGACAGATGAAGAAATCCTTTTTTTTTTTTTTTTTTTTTTTTTTTTTTTTTTTTTTTTTTTTTTNCCTTTTTTTTTTTTTTTTTCAGTTGCTTTGTTTGCAAATGAACTGCGTGAAAAAATACAAAAAAAAAATATTCAAAACTTATGGACCCTGTCGTCATTTTTTCTTCCTCTTTCTTTTTCCTTCTGTTTTCGCATTAGACGCACAGTACGCCAACGAATAAATGGCCACGGTTTATAACTTTTGATCAGATCTTCATGTTTCAGGTCTCGATCTTAATGGTGACCTCAAATATGCTACTTTATAAGTGCAGAGGATATTTGAAGTTACGAAGCCCGGAAGTTTCTCTGAATAAATGTACCTTCTTTTCTTTTTCAATATATTAGGATTTGTGACTCCTAAAATATAGGGGTGGCTGAAATCTGGGAAATAGGTCCCAATAGTTTGGTCAGGAGAGCGGTTCCAAATTTGGACCCCTTAAGGTAAATTTTACTTTTTAAGCAAATTGAACAATTTTTGCACACAATTATAAAAAAATTTTTCAAGGTTAATTCATGCAAAGAAAGTAACTTTCAGCAATTATTTATTTTTTTATTATAAAAGGAAAAGTGTGACCGCACATTTGTGAAATGGCCGTCCGCATTATTAATTGCAAACTTCAGCCTAAGCAAGCTGGAGATGCTTATAAACTTCACAATAAATTCAGTGACTTTATTTTTTGAACTCTACTTTACTAATAAGACTTTTTATAAACTATTTGGCATTTTATTTTTTAAAAATTGTTCTAAGTAACTAAATTATTTTAAAGCTTTTGTCATAATTAATAAGATTAAAGAATATGATCTATTTGAATGTGATCTCACCTTTAAATTTCTTTATGCTCAATATTATTTTTAAAAAAAATTACATTTTTTTTTCTTTATTATTTTAAACATCGTCAGCATTTCAAATTAAGAATGAAATGCATAATTTTTAGTTAAATCTAATTCCTTTTTCTAAACCTGTAAGTTTTTATAAAATTTAGTTCTTATATAAGCATGCATAATTTTATTGAATGATTATTAATTTTGTTACCGTTATTAATGTACTAAGTCTGTGAAAGTATTAAAACAGAGTTTATTATATTTTGCCATGCTCCAGTAGTAAAGGTAGTTTTTATTTTAAAGACTATCAATTAATTTTATTGTTTGAATCAGCCCTACTCATAGCAAGGCTGAAAATTTTTTTAAAAATATATATTTTACGCCACAACCAGGAAAGAAGAAAATCCTTTTCTAAGGGAAATGTTTTCGTAAAATAGACTAATTTCATCTTTCAAGAGTTAGTTGAAGGTAAAGATTTAAAAATGGAATACTAGCATCATATGTGAAGACTTTGTTTTTGTTAAAGAAGGATCAAACCAAGATATGAAGATTGCAAGTTTGTGTTATTGTTATTAATAACATATCAATAAGTGGTTACAAAGTAATAAAAATTATATTTGCCTCAAAGCTGCCATGGGTTTCATTATTTCAAATATACCATTGTAACGTAATATTTACTTTTCCTGCATTGAGTCTGACTCTATTTTTCTTTTTTCAAACAGTGGAAATTTGTCTGAAAAAGCAAGTAACCATAGATTAAGCAAGATGGTTGGTAAAGACTTAGACATCGGAGATTTAGTGTGGGCAAAAATGAAAGGTTATCCCCCATGGCCATCAAGAGTTATGGAACCACCAACCAAACACACACATACAAAGAAAAACCACCATTATGTTAAGTTTTTTGGTACTAAAAATTATGCATGGATTGAAGATGATAAGATATTTCCACACAGTGATGATATGATTGATAAAACATCAAAGAAAAAGCCTGGTGCTCTTGTTAAAGCTATTGAAGAGATAGTAGATGAATACAAGACAAGACCTCCAAAGAAAAAACCTCAAGAAGTTATTGTGAGTAGTCCCTTAAAATCTAAAGTGCCTGACACTCCAAAAAAGAGTGAAAAAGTTAAAGTTAAGAAGAGTGGCCTTGAAAGAAAGGAAAAATCTGAAAAAAAGATATCAAGAAAACGATCTGCCGAATCTAACCATTTTGATGATTACAGTTCGCTTAAAATAGCCAAGCCAAGTTTTCGTATGACTGATAAATCTATTTCTACTGCTGATTCCTCTGAATCACATTCCACTTTTTCATCAAGCATATTACAAAGGCGTACTTACGTTGATTGTCCCCAAACACCTCCTCTTGATATAAAAACCATTAAAGAGACATTGCTTGTTAAAAATGTCAAACCAACCAGCAAGAAAATAGGTTTTCTTGGTCTGAATGCTCTGGGTCAGGGAATTGTGAAAAATTTGTTGAATTCTGGTCATAACGTTACAGTTTGGAATCAGTTACCAATATTATATGAAGAATTTTCTGAAGCTGGAGCTCAGATTGCTCAAACGCCTGCAGATGTAATTGAAAATTGTGATATTACATTCTGCTGTGTTACTGATCCTCAAGAAACAAAGAGACTTGTTTTCGAAAATTGTGGAATTTTAAAGGGCCTGGAGGGTTGTACATCTTTATCAAAAGGCTATGTCGAATTGACTGGAATAGATCCAGAAACTTCAAAAGAAATAGCTAAGGAAATTAGTTGCAAGGGAGGAAGGTATATTGAAGCACCTGTTACTGGTTCCAGAAGTCAAGCTGAAGATGGTCAGTTAGTAGTTCTTGCAGCAGGGGACCAAGAACTTTTCAATCAATGCCAAAGTTGCTTTTCAGCATTTTCCAAACATGCTTACTTTGTCAGTTTACATATTGGATATGCCAGCAAAATGTCACTTGCTTTAAGTATGTTCAAAGGAACTGTCGTTGCTGCATTAGCTGAAGCTCTAACTTTAATCAATAAATGCAAACTTTGCCCTGACACATTTTTAGCTATTTTGGATTTAATTTGTGTCAACTCACAGATGTTGCAGGAAAAGGGAAAGGCGATGAAAGATCGTGAATATACTCCTGATGTCCCCCTCAACAGTCAGGATAAAGATTTGGGATTAGCTCTAGCATTAGCTGACTCTTTAAACCAACCTTTACCATTGTCTGGTCAAGTGAAAGAAATTTTCAAACGAGCTAAACTGCGCTGTTATGGTGATCATGATGTTTCTGCTGTTATTGAGGGAACTAGGTTTAGTTAAATGTTACAAACATGAAATGCATCATCAAATACATAACAAATTCATTAATAAATGGTCTTTTTGTTCTGTTTCATCATGTTATACTTTTGTTACTTTTATCCTCATACACTTCAGTTTTTGATCATTTTTAAATGTCTAAATTATGAGTAGTCTCCATATTTGTAACTTTAAAATTGTGTTAGTTATGTAATTGTTTTCTCATGATGCAAGTAAAATAAATATTTTTCATTCTATTTGCTTTCCTTATTTAGAGTTAATAATTATTATAATAGTTGCATTTTGCCTTGAATATAACACTCAAGACTGTTCCCAATATATTTTTAATTTTGTGTTCAAATCCTGTTAATAATTTCTTTGATATTGTCCAATATTTTTCAATTAGGAAAATGCAATCAGTTTTAAATCGTTGTCCCCTTGATTTGGAAGCGACAGTCCGAACTAATTATGTATGCCTGATTGAAAAAATTTAATATAAATTTTTTTAAAAAGCATGGCGTTGAAAACATTTATATTTACTTAGCTGCAACATATTTTTTTTTCCAATCTAATTTTTGATTTTTGTTGCAAAACAAGACTTAGATCTGTTTTAAGTCTTGGTTAAAATTTTACTTATATTTCATATTGTTGTAGAATATAATATTTTTTTTGATTTAAAATCTCAGATATACTGTACTTAAATCAGCTGTTGTAGTTTACAAAGCACTCTTTAAATTTCTAAAACATAAAATGGTTTGAAGAAATAAATCATTAGTACAAATAAACTTATATTATGGACTGAGTACCCAATAACTAATTCTGTATATCACTTCTTGTGAAATTAGTACATTGTTTATTGAGTGAATATCTCGCAGATTTCTTGTAGACTTTCAACTCAACAGTATTAAGACAAAAGAAACTAATGGGTTAAACAATGGCTTGCTTAAACCATATTCTTTAATTGTTGCTTAACACTTTTTAAAAAAAACTAATTTTGTTTGGAGGGCCTATTTCTGTTTTGTAATATATTAGTCTGTATTCATTATAAAATATTCCAGACTCCATACTAAAATATGTTACTAGAAGATAAGATTGTTTACCAGTAATTGTAGACATAATTTCTTAAGCAGTTTTCACTTTTATTTTCTTTGTTCATGAAATACCGGTTTTCAACTTAAATTGTAAGGTAACAACTAAAACATTCATGAGTTATATCCAACTATTTAACTTAACAGGAGCATATCACTGCATGTTGATGTATGGAGTTCAATTTTATTTAACTTTAAAATGCTTATAAACCAAAGCACTTATAATCAAGATCTATGTTAATTTTGTTTTGTTATTGAATTCAGCTGATTTTTTAAAATTTCGAGTATTTTAGAAACAGTTAATAATAATTGGATAGCTGTTAATACTTTGGTTCTGCTATACAATGTGTGACGGTTAGTATATATCATGTAGGTGAATCATTAAATTTTATTTGTACTGCAACTAATTTTGTGTTTCATGGTGTCTACATTCTCCGGTAAAACTAAAATGGGAAAATGTGCATTTAAATCTGGAAATTGCGAGTGATATTATTTTAATTTGGTATTTTAACGTTATTTTCCATTTACAAATATTTCCTTTTTTATTGAACTTGTGAAATAAAAATTTTAAAAAATTATTTTATTTAGCGTTAAGGAACTTCTAGTTAACCTGATGATCATCTTTTTAGTGTTTCAGTTTTACATCAGTATTGAAATGATGGAAAGATCCATTTAAGACAAGAGAACTACAAAAACTCTCGAGTGTTAAATGACTAAATAAAATATAGAAAATTAATGTGGTTTGCTAAGGCTATGGATCTATACAATATAAAACGTAACTTAAAACTTTATACATCAGATACCGCACTCAAGCTTTAAAATGGCATGTTTCAACTAAAAAGCGTCATTTTCTTTATTTAATCAATCATATTCCACATTCAAATAATATTTAGTTCCACAAAAAACTTCAAATGAATTCATGTTCTAAAATTCATTAGTGCTTATAAACATTTCTGGGATGAAAAGATTTAAATACTATGAAAAAGTGTTTGATGGTATAGATTGCGAGACCTCTAGACTAATTAATGCATACTTTTACTACGTAATATATATACTTTCAGGTGGAATTTAGTCTTCATTTTCTTTATTTAATCTATTATATTTCATCATAATATTTAGTTCTAAAATCATAAAAGATGAAAATTGTATTCTAGAATCCGTAAGTATTATTATATAAATATTAGAAGGCTGAAATAATTGTAAAGCAGATATAATTAACGATGGTTTAAGATTGAACTATGTATATATATAACAATGCGTTAATTATTAAATATGGCTAGTTAAGTACTAAATAAGTTCAATGCTCAAAATAAAAAATATATCACCCTGAACATCTTTTGTTCGGATGATCGGTTTTTCACGAAATGCCAATCTCAGATGTGCTAATTACTTATGGCTTACTATAATTGAAGTTACAGAATAAGACAAGTGCACTTTCCTGAATAAACGTGCCTTTTTTTCCCCAACCGATTAGGTTTTTTACTATCGACATATAGGAAGTTACTGCAATTAGGAAAATATGGACCGAGTCGTCAGAAGTTTAGTTATTACTATCGTATTGTGTGACAGCTCGGGAATTTTTTAAGCGATTCAAAACATTTGTTCTCACAATAACAAAGATAATTCCATGTAAAATAATTTTTAACAGCTTTTCATTTTTTGATGTGTTTAAAGGTCGAAAAAATTTGCTGATTTTTAAATTTTCTTTTTAATCTGAGTAATTTTAATGAGGAAATACATAATCGAACAAATAGTGCAAATTTTGTAACTCACACTATTCAACAGATTTCGCTCAAATTTTGCAATTTAGAGAGACAATATAATTTAAAATTAAAATGGTGTAAATAAAATTGGTATACCTTAGAATATTTTTTCTTCCCTTATTAAATAAAATAAAAATTATTTTTTCATGTTATCGTTGGATAAGCAAATCATGTAATTGCACGCGAAAATGTTCAATTAGCTTTAAACATTTTAGAGATATGACTCATTACTGAAAATGAAATTAACTTTGGGCCACATTTTTCAGAGGATTGTGGTTTCCTCCCAAATTTTGATGGTCAAAAATCTAAATCCCTTGTTTGTTCAGCGAAAGTACGTTTTTGTATAAATTTCTGTAACCTATTTAATAGTTAGCACTAATTTAATTAAATAGCTATATTTTCTTTTTTACTGCATAACATAACACAAAACACTACTCAATACATGCACTTGATGCTTTTAAATGGCCTTCATAATTTAAAAGCTTCTTATTCTTTAATCATTTGTCAAATTAAAATAATTAGTTTTAAAAGAAGTATAAATTCATTTTCTATTGCACTTAGATATTTATAATTATATTTTATAACTGATGTTGAACAGCTGACCCGATTCTGAGTTTACGACTATCAATGTTTAACTCCGTAGCCTTCTAACTTTAAATCCAATCGAGAAGACAAGGGAACTTCTGAATCAAGCCGCTGTGGAGGACTTTTTGATGGAACTAACCCGCATTTGCGTTGCATGGACAGGAAAACCTCTTTCGGCTGGCCCGAAGGCTAAGGGATTCTAAACCGTGATCTGTCTACCATTAAGGATATTTTGCGTCAGAACTGTGATCGATGCGAGCCAACTCTGGGATCGATCCCTTGAGCGTACGTGGCTCAAATACTTATGAATTTAATAATAAATCGAGATTAAGATTGCACAATTTTTAAGAGCTCTTGAGTTATCTCTATTAGTCTTTACGCCAACGTCTATTGTTGACTCTTTTCTGGTGCGAGGTGCTAGATAAGAATTCCGAAAAACAACTTTTCCCGAAATCCTAAAGTGACCTTAACTTTAATTCAACAAAACCACAGTTAACTTGATCATAGTATACAATTAAACAACGAAAGTTATTTATTTTCAAAGTAAGGGATCTGTCTAGGCCAAATTTGCTACCGTTTAGCGGTACCTTCACAAAATACTTTTTCTTAAAATTTTATTTTTGTATCCCATAAGAAACGATAAATCCATATTTTTGTGTTGATTTTTTAATATAATTTTTAGTTTTCACAAATTATGCCTAAAATTTCACAAAATAGGTACCTCTCAGAAAAACCTCTGTAAAATTAATTCAGGGGAAAAGTGGTTATTTTATGAATTTGTAATTAAAACTTTAATGCAATATCATTTGCCTTCTGATTGCATCAATTGATTGTTAGTTTCCTTCAAATTATGTGTGTAATTATTTTTTGACTTATTAAATTTAATAAAAGTTATAATAATAATTTTAATCTTTTTTGAAAGTTTTATTTTTAAATGCTAATTTTTGTTTTTAATATTTTTTTTCAGAATGGTTGCAAAAGGATATGAAATAGGAGATTTAGTTTGGGCAAAAATGAAAGGCTATCCTGATTGGCCTGGAAAAATAAGCGATCCACCAAATGGAGCCAATAAAAAAGGAAAACATTATATCTTTTTTTTTGGAAGCAAAAATTTTTCCTGGATTACAGACGACAAAATAAAATATCATTCTGAAGAATTGTTGAAAACAGTTACAAAAAAGAAATATGCTTTTTTTGAGGAAGCGGTTGAAGAAATAAAAACAGAGAGCAAAAAAACAAAGAGCTCTGTCAAGATTGTCAGTGAAGAAAAAGAGGTAAAATCTGTGGCTAAAGCCAGTAAAGAAAATGATAGCAAAGAATCAACACCTGTGATAAAAAAATCTCCCAAGAAACGCAAAAGCGACATACCAGTTAAACTATTTCCCAAAGAAAAAAAGTCTGAAAATTCGCAACCTAAAAAGCCTGTTGCTAAAATACCCAAAAAACGTCATTTATCAGGTACAGAGGATTCCGCTGGTTCTTCAAAAAAATCTAAGGGAGATTACACTACTCTATTTGAAAGTGTTTTGCCTAGTATGGGAGTCAATAATCTTGCTATTTACAATTTGCCTGATGAAATGGATGCAGAAGTTACTGCTCCTATTATTCCTTCTACTCCTAAAATTAGCAAAAGCGAATCAAAAAATGTTGAACCGGAATCTTCCAAATCTCCAAAAGCTAAAACCATTGGCTTCATAGGACTGGGTATGATGGGACAAGGCATGGTCAGAAACTTATTGAATGCTCAGCATTCCTTATGGATATGGAATAGAACCCCTAGTAAATGTGATCCGTTTGTTGAGATGGGAGCCATAAAAGCATTGACACCAGCCGAAGTAGTGAAGAAAAGTGATATTACGTTTTGCTGTGTATCTGACCCACATGCTGTTAGAACAATCATGTTTGGAGACAGCGGTGTTCTTAAAGGATTTGAGAACTGTCCACTGAAAAGCAAAGGATATGTTGAGATGACATCAATTGACGCTGAAACTTCAGTTGAAATAGCAGAAGCTGTCGAAAACGCAGGGATGAAATACCTTGAAGCTCCTATTATTGGATCAAAAAAGCGTGCAGATGATGGAACCATATTGATCCTGGGATCAGGTGATCGTGACCTTTTCCACGACTGCGAATCTTGCTTCCATGCTATGTCAAATCATGCGTATTACATATCATGCACTGTTGGAAAAAGTGCAAGCATTAATATAATTACAAATATGTTTTTGGGTACAACATATGCTGCATTAGCTGAGGCCTTGGCTTTAACTGACCGCATAAAGCTCTCTCGGTCCGATCTGTTGGAAATCCTTGAGTTACGTGGAATCACTAGTCCTCTGGTTATGGACAAAGGAAAAGCTATTGTTGAAAATAAATACAAACCAGATACTTATTTGAAACATCAGCAAAAGGATTTAAATTTGGCGCTGTTATTGAGTGACCATTGCGATCAGCCATTGCCAGTAACCAGGGCTGCGAATGACGTTTATAAGCATGCTAAACAACTTGGATGTTCCAATGACGATGCCGCTGCCGTGTATCATGGTGTATGGTATTAATTTCATGATAGTACTTTACTAGCTCTACAAAATTCTCATGTAAGCTGAAATTGTTGTATGACTCATCTTTGTTGCATATATTTTTGAACATTATTTCATTTGCTAATAAAACGACTGTCACTAATTTGTGTTCTGTTCTTTTTTTCTCACTTAAAATTTTTCTGCATTCTTCGATTTAAAAAGATTCTGACGATTAGTTAATATAACTATTTTTTTTTTCTTTTTAGTAGTTTTAGTTGTAAAGCTTTGCATATTTTTTAAATTGGTTGTTAAAATTATAAACAGATTGCATTCTTTTACAGGAAAAAAGCATAGCTTTTCTATTTTGCATTATGACCTTTTTTTCAAAAATTATTAAACTAGTAAAAAAAGTTCCGTTGCTAAAATGGCATAGTTTTTTTCCCAATATTTAAGCTTTGAAAGTTTGTCTTCCTCAGTTGCAGATACTAGGCTAAAAATAACGGAAATTATCTATTTTATTTTAAGGAAAGTCTGACCTAAATTTTTCAATTAAAAGGTGTTTTTTTTTTTAATGGTAATCCTTCTATTAACTCCTTCCCTTCAAATAGAAAATGAATTCTATTTCCTGCATATGGAGGTAAGAATTGCGTTTACCTAATTCACCATTAACTGTGGAAAATTATTTGAACGTAACTCTTAATTTTTTTTAGGTTCAATATTGAAACTAATTTCAATGATTGTAATTCATTAGTGTTCAAATTATTCTGTATCGATTACATTGAGAAAGTAGAATTCTGTTTTCAGACAACTCTCAACAATAAAGTGTTTCAAAGTTTTGCTCACTTAATGAGTTTATAACCTTTGTTGAACAGCCGACCCAACTTTTCAGTTTACGACTACTAATGTTCAACTACGTAGCCTTATCATTTTGAACCCAATCCAGAAGACAAGGAAGCTCTTGGATCA